GAGAGAGAGAGAGACAGAGAGACAGAGAGACAGAGAGACAGAGAGAAAGAAAGAAAGAAAGATAGAAAGAATGGCCTTTGTAGTCCTTAGGTTTGTAGACCTTAAAGATCTTGTAGAAATAAGTAAGCGATAGAATTTTTAAAGAGTAAACGAGCCAGACAAGATCGAAAATATTCGAAAATATTCGAAAATATAAGTCTGCGGTCAATCGGTTTGTTTCCTATCTAAGTTTATGTTTTCGTAGGTGACCGTAATAGAGTGCTATATTGCTGTAACGATAATAGCATATATAGAAATCTTATCAGTCCTTAGCTAAACGTTTCTATTAAGTCGTGTAGATTCGTGGGAAACAGTTTTCGTAAATAGTAAGTAGTATTTACGAAAATATTAATTGTTTTAAGATTTGGACTTTATTTTAAGATGACATAAGATGACGATGTATAGAACGTTTTAGATTCAACGAACTATTTTTTCCCTCACGGGTACTTAAAACAAATTTATAGGCAAAAAACAATATGACGCATTTAAAACATCTGGTAGACATTTCGATAGATTAACCTTATGAAATAATTTTAACAGATTTAAAACAGATTTTTTAAGTAATTTTTTATTTAAACATGTCTAATATGTAATGACGCGTCTGTATTGAATATGGATTAAAATTCGTACTCGTAAATATTAATTGGGATAAAATATTCTATATTTTATTCTCACATGATAAAATATAAATATTGTGAAATATTATATGATGAGAATATATATAATTCAAAATTCTAATTAATTTTTTCGCGAATTTTGTCGGAGCGTCATCGGTTTATCCAACAATTATCTTCGACCGAGATTTCGTAATTGTCTCGTTGCTTATTCGAGAGGACTAAAAATGTCCGGCGTACTGACCTTCTTTAATTTCTTTTCTTGTGAGATCTGCGCTGCCTTTCGTCGCACGTGCTACCATATTTGTAAAACCGATGCCGAGGCGCAAAAGCTTGTAATCGTCGTCCGCTGTCAAGGGTTCGGGTGTGAGACCACTTAGGTGTAGACATTTCCCTGAAAAGAGAAGAACAATGAGAATAATTATTTAACTGTACAAATTGAACACAACAATAGTCGCTTTTGCAATCGTAATGAACTTCATTATTTCAGGTAATGAAGCGTGAATTTTTGAATTAACTCTGATGATTAATTTAAAATTTGTGAGCAGAATTAGATTTTCGAATAAAATACATTATTAAATTTAAGACATTTTCTTTGTAGTTTTTACGTCTTGTGTAGCAATATTAACCATGGAAAAAATTAAAGCACAAAATTATTAACATGTACAGTTGAGCATGTTATACGCATCGTCGAGGTACATGAGCGCTTTTAAAAATTTTAATGAAATTGACATCCCCGATATTGCGCGATCCATTTTTAATTTTAATTACATAATGTTAAGCATTAAATTGCTTACTTGCGGCACCATTACAACGAAACGTATAATTGCAGTCGTCGCGTGAACGGCCAAATGACTTCGCAAAGCTATTGTTCCACGCGAAATACTCCGTATTTTGTTAATAGGCCGCGCTCCACTATTTATATCCCATTAAATAAACGATCTAAATTTTCTGATAGGCATAATAAAGCCTCGGCTCGGCGAGGCTTTCGCGCGGAGATAATGGAATTGTTAGAACAGAAGCGCAGCGTATCTATTGTAATAGAAATGACAACCATTGTTGTTTCTATTGTCGATGGTTCGTGCCAGTATCATTTCGCTCGGATTACTAAAATCATCATCATTAGTTTTATCATCAAGCTTACATTAATTTAAGATACATTTTAATTTGACAAACAATGTGATTTCGCTGATCAGGAGCAATATAAAAAGCCTTTTATTTTAAGTAGCTGTTCAAAGATTGAATTTTGTTTATCCGGTTTTGCAAATAATTGATCCAATTACTGTCACTCTTAAATGGTAACAATGCTAAGCATTCTTAAATAGAGATTAAGTTATTGGCATTCTATTATTATTTCTGCGCGATGAGAGACGCAGCGAGGCCAAATTGGGATATATTGTACGATTGCTTATCTTTACGTCAAATTACATAAAAAATGCAAATACAGAGAGAAAGTTCTACTTTCATGAAGATATAAATTAATCTCGTGCAAGATGCACAAACGATTAGCGGTTGACCGCTTGAATGTTATAACAGCAGCGAGCGTCAATTAGCGTTGCGAATCGTAAATTTCCATTGTATAAATAATAAATAGCGCGTATAAATAGCATACAAACAACGGTAAATCGTACGGACGACAATTCGTTCTAAATATTGACGTATGAATGCTTGGCAAACGCGCGCGATCGTTTATTTCGTATCGCGAAAGCAAACACGGCGCTTAACGCCGACATTCAAAAGGCACTCTCGCCGATTTTCCCGCGATTATGCAGATCAGCAATGTGTGCGGAAAATTCAAACGATCGTTTTTACGGCCGCCCCGGATGAGCGAGTAAGTTGCTTGTTGTTAAGTAATCCGCCGGGAGTTTTGTTTTCGACGTTTCCGCGAAACTGCATGGTGCATTATCGCGACAATTTGGCGGCTAAATGCTAACGGCGACGCTTTGCCGGGCGGAGCACAAGTGTTACAAAGGTGGAAACGGCGGGAAAGGATTAAACAGTTCGGGTCAGGCGCGGTTGGTCGGTTCTTTCTACTTTGCCGCATAAAGTTGGATTATATGAGAGTTCACCTTGTTCCGTCCGCGCGCGGTCAGAAATAATTGCTCTCGCCGCTCCTGGAAGTTGCTTCGGTGACTACAAATGAATTATTTACACGTTCAAGTCCCTCTGTAATCTCTTTGCGCGTTACGCCTTGTCGCACAGTTAAATATCTTACATGCTATGCTAATCACATATTGCAATGACTTGGAGATTGAAGCTCAACTCTAATTAAAATATGCAAATATAGAAATGTTATTTATGTTGCAAGGCGAGATATCTGCAAAATAATATACGATCGTATTACACAATTTGATTATTTTGAAGTATATCAGAAAATAAAAATACAAAGTTTCCCCCTTCTTGTGTAATAGTGGCGAGCGTGAAGAGTAAAGTCCCTTAGTTGCCGTGCGGCTATTTAAAGGTTAACATTTAAAAAAGGCAATAAAAACGTTTAAAATTAAAACCCTTCCGCGTTTGCGCCACGTCGATAATAAATTTATTATCGAGAAACGCCGCAACGCCGAAGCAATAAGCGTCCCTTCGCGCACAAGAAAACGGACCAGATAAATCTTTTACCGCTTCACAGTGCGGGCGCGCACACAGAGACGTCCACACGTGTTTCGCGTACACGTGGGGGCGAGACAACACCCCGGTGGCGCGAAATTACAGTCGTCGCCAAAGTCTATCCCGCGAGCGTTTACCCCCGGCAGTAGATAGAGATTTATGACGCGGCCTCGGGAAATTCTCTCTCGCCGCTTTACTCCAGTGGCACCGACCTACAACGGGCGCGCGCCGCGTCGGCACGACCTTGGAGAACTTCGGAACAAAGTTAAACGCTCGTCCGCGGCCGTTGCACGCTTTCCGGTGCAACGTGCCCGACCTCCAAGTCCGCGGGAAAAGGCACGAACCGCACGCGCGTGTGTGTAATGTCGGCTCTAAATTACGGAGATTGCAGTCCCAAACTCGGCCAGAATTTTTGTTTCTTGATGAAAAAAAAAAAGATTGTAGATTCATTCGTAACAAATATGATTCTAAAATTTAAGCGGTAAGAAGAACTTGAATGAAAAGCCAACTGAACGCGTGTGAATTCAGTTAAAATCATATTTTTAATAGAAACTTTAGTGCATCTCAGTTACTTATGTTTCTTTTATCTACGTGTCTTTTCTTTTATCGAGGACTTAAAAATATCTCGCAGAAATGTTTGCACTGCTGATGAGCAATACTCGCGAGCTTACTCGTGGTTTAAAGTTCGCCGCGACGAGGGGGCGCGCGGGACCATAAGAAGGAGACTAACGGCCGATCGAACAAACTTTATCGGGGCGAAATGCGACCCTCCTCCGTCATTCACGACGCTAACCTAACCCAACTTGACTTCGCTCGACCTTCCCGCTTCACCGGGTGCTTTATGGTGTTTCGAGCGAGGGTGTGAAAAGTGTGTTTTCCTATACGCCGATGGAAAGCAAATGCGCTTGTTTCCGCGCCGCGCCGCCCGATCGGTCGGGCCGTCTGTAAATTGTGATTCGTCTCTGATACGGACGTAATCGGTGTGGAACGTGAAATCCTACGCGATCTCGGGCACGAGATTTTTTCCGCGGCTGAGAAATTGCGGTTGTTTATGGGAAATTTGAGAATCTCCCGAGCGGAAAAGAACAGCCAAAAACGTAAAACACTTCTGTTACGGGCATTCTTTTTGAGTTATGCCTCTATAAAACGGTATTCTGGTTCACATGTTATGTTATTACTGCTAAGTTATCGGAAAGTTATTGCCAAGTTACTATTTTTGAAAATTGTTGTGACTAACGCATTAATAATATCAGTTTTAAAGATGCATTTAATCGTCAATATAAAAATAAAAAGATGCAAGAGATATTTAAATTTTTTAAACATCTGATAAATCCACAAATAAAAATGCGAAAATGTGCGAGGATACGTGTCATAAATATTAATATTAATGCAAATATTTCTCTGTAATGGAACCATTAGTTTTCGTAAATTATTTACGTATATATTTTTACCGCATATTTTATTAATGGATATCTCTGAACCATGATGCAACTCGATACATAATCAATATACAATATATGAGATCTGAAGATAATATTTCCAATCTGAAAACCGAAAATATTCGAATAATTAATTTTAGTATGATTTTATTTAGTATCACGAAGTAATCACATAACCGATATCCGCTGACAATCGTAGGAAATATTAATTGCAATTGTAATTCTCCATAAATCCATATACTCCAGTTTCCTTTCGCCCATATATATTCATTTTCTACAATAATAATCCCAAATATATTTTACGTGATCTGTTGGAAATAATTCACATTCAAGAATATAATTAAGAATTCAGTTAGCTTTTTTTCTTTACGAAGAAAATAGAAACACACAACAGAATTAAATGGGTCTCCGAGGATATCCGCAACAAGTATTTTCTTGGCTTTAAAATGATTTAAAAACTCCAGGTTACGATACAGCAGTCAAAACTCTTCGCGTCGCGCCAAACTTTCCGAACTTTCGGGCCGCGGTACGTCCGACTTAACTCGTTTTATGGAGTTCCGGGCATCAGAGAGCGCAACAGGACCTTCCGTATCGCATTTTTCTTCTCACCCATTTCTACCCCACCCTCCTCCGGGGATCTCGTACTCGGCACGAGAGGCGCGGCGAACAACACGGTCGGGAAGAAATATCGCTCTTGATATTTTTCTAATGCATGGCAACTCGACCCTCCTTCTTCATTTCCAGGCAACGGCAACGACACGCGAGGGAACCGCAACAATCCCGGCTATCATTTAGTGCGAAATGTACAATTCATAATCTGAACGACCGCTAAATCGTTACAATTATACGCGGATTGTTCGCAATTGTGTAAGAACTTGTGACGCCAGCAAAATAAATAATCGCGATTTCTTCCTCCAACTTTTCCTTTCGCCAACCTATACCGAGGCTTTCCGTTAGACAAGGAAATGATTTTCAATATACATAACGCCATTTATGTTTATTAAATATAATTTCAGTTTACACGACGCCGCTATTTTTTTATCGCATCATAAATTTATGAACGCTCTATACAGATCCATATAAATCTATCTCACTTCCGGCACACATGTTAATCACCGTTGGTGAAATCCAACGAGCATTGTTAGCCTCTGCGCTTTATCAAACGCGCGAATTCCTCGATCGACGAGTATATTCGCGCTCGGAACGGCGTGAAATCGACACGGACGATCTTCCTCGCTGGCCGCTCGCGCGAGCGGCGGAGCCGCAACGAACGGTGGTGGCTGCGACTATCGCAAATTTCTCAAACCTCCATTGACCTAGATTTTCGTTCCTTTTTTTCCTCTTGGATTCT